AGGCCGGGCTACGGGGCGCTCACATGGCTGGCGCCTGGACGCGGGCCCTGGGGCCGCCACCTTGATGTCCTGGTACACGGTCGACACCAGCAAATCCGGTGGGTCCGTGCGGGTCATCTTAAAAGACGTCCCCAGGCTGGCGGCTCCAGTCACTTGGCCTTTCGGGGCTCTTGCCCTGGGGGGATACGTGGGTCAGGACTCCAGAGTCCGGTTCCCTTCCACTCCCAGCCTGGCCCTGGGCATGTGTACCTGGGGTGATGGTGGAGCAGCCCTGGCTGCAGACCTCCACGGTGATTGCCAGTGCCTGGTCCATGACTTCAAAGTCAGAGGCACCTGCAGGAGAAACCTAGCTGACCCACAACAGGGCAAAAGATTTAGCGTTCTGTGGGCCCTGCCTGGTGTCCAATCTCCCTTCCTGGCAGGCCAGGCAGGGCAGAAGGGCTGGGTGCTGGTGGTGGTGGTGGTGGTGGTGGTGTGAGGTTTCAGGCAGGACTGCTGCCCTCTGGTGCCCACAGTTGGAATGAGGGGTTCCTTCCAGCTTCTGTAGATGGTGGCGTTGGTTCCCCAAGGTGCCTGTGACTGCAGCCCCCTCCTAGTGCCCCAGGAGGGTAGCTGTGTTGGCAGTGCAGCCCGAGGGAGGCCCTGGGTCCCACCGCCTGCTGACCAGCTCAGCACAGACTTCTCCCAGAGTGCCGCAGGGGCCCTTGCATTTGGGACACTGGCTGCACACTTAGAGAGTCCCAAATGCCAGTGTGACCCAGGACTGGAAAATGTCTCCAGAGAGCATTCCTGGGTCTTCAGACTCCTTTTGCAGAAACCTTCCCTGCCTCGCTGCTCTAGGGGAACTGAAATCTACCTACCTCATCAGGGAGACTGTGGAGCAAACCCATGGGCTCTGCATAGCGCAGACACCCCCAGTGTGTGCACAGGCTGCAGGACCATGAGCGCCGTGTGAGCCATGATCACAATGACCCTCTTCCCTGATCTGTGAACTCCCAAGCTGCAGAGCTAGCACACCAGGCCAGGCAGCCGGGGGTGGGGTGGGGTGGGTGGGAGTCAGGAAAAGCTCCCGGGAGATCCCTCCCTACTGTAGCTCCACAAGCTCCATGGAAACCTGAGGTTCTTCACCCCTGGCTGCGGGAGTCCAGGCTCGTGTTCCGATGTAGGCCACCAGCACCTCTGCAGTCTCTAGGGCCTGGGGCAGAGTTCAGGAGGTAGTGGCAGCCCC